TGCCACTTTATCCAAGCAGTAGGAGGGCAAAGAGAGAAATTATATATAAATTTGGGTTTGCCCCCACTGTCTTGGTGCCACAGATACTCCAATCAGAGAGGAAAGATTCCCCCTTCCCTCACCATTTTAGGCACTTGAAAGCACTCCTGCTTCCATCGTCATGGTTGATTCAGCTGTTTTAAGGGGATTGTCTGTTGGATAGGGTGTGAGAGAATGGAGAAACAACTTGGTGTACTTCCTATTAGGAGATGTATTTCCTGTTCTTTCCAGTGTGCCCCCTACTGGGTTTGGGGTTGCTTTCAATCCAGTCCGTGGCTACTGGAGGGAAAAAATGGTAAACTCACTACCAATCATTTCACTTTGAATGCTGGTATTTTTCCTGAACTTGCTTGGTACAATATATATTTTTTAACAGTTCTTGAATAGCTGCTCCACGCAATCTGTTCAGGTCTTATAGTTTCACTCAGTGAGAGATAATGGGTTGAGTGTGATTATTCTGTGTTAACTGGAATCAGAACACTTGTATAATCATACCCCTTGTATACATTAGTTTTCATATATAAATATGTATAGATAATGAATTGTTTTCTTGGGTGTATATTTGTGAATAGTTGGTACTATTCTTTTCATACTCTACCTGAGGCAACCACTTTATACTATAAATACTCTCCTGGTTATTTAATACTTTTTTTTTTTTTTTGGCTCGTACCATGCAACATGTAGGATCTCAGTTCCCAAACAGGGGTCAAACCTACACCCCCTGCAGTGGAAGCATAGAGTCTTAATCACTGGACTACCAGGGAAGTCCCTGGTTATCTATTGCTGTGGAAGAAATCACCTTCAAACTTAGTAGCTTAAAATAACACAAATCATGTTATTAGTATAGATTAAAGCATTGATTAGGCTTAGCTAGATGATTCTTCCTTGGGGAGGGTCTCTCATATATTTATAGTAAAATGGTGGCTGAGGATAAAATAATCGGAAGGCTCACTCATTCATGTGTGTGGCATTTGGTCTGGGAACACTCAAAAAGCTGGGGTTTCGGTTGTATTCATCTCTACTGCTATGTGGTTTCTCCATGGTTTCTCCAGCATGAAAACGTCAAGATAGATAGATTTCTCTTTTTTAAAAAAAAATTTCTAGCTTTATTGAGATATGATTGATATATAACACTGTGTAAGTTTAAGTAATATGACATGTTGATTTGATATACATTGCAATATGATCACCACTGTAGCACTAGCTAATATCTCCATCCTGTCACATAATTACCCCTTCTTTTTTGTGGTGAGAACATTTAAGCTCTACTCTCTTAGCAACTTTTAAGTATATAGTACAGTATTATTATCTATGATCACCATGCTGTACATTAGATTCTCAGAATTTGTTCATCTTATAACTGGAAGTTTACACTCTCTGACCAATATCTCTCCATCTCTTCCATGTCCCCAGTCCCTGGTAGCCAGTACTCTACTCTGTTTCTATCAATTTGGCTTTTTTAGATTCTAAATATAAGTAAGATCATACAGGATCTGTTTTTCTCTTGACTTATTTCACTTAGCATAATGCCCTCAAGTTTCATCCATGTTGTTGCAAATGGCAGGATTTCCTTCTTTCTCATTGCTGAATAACACGGTCATGGAATATTACATATTGCAATATATATATATATATATATATATATCACACCTTCTTTATCCATTCATCTGTTGGTACTTAGGTTGTTTCTATATCTTTGCATTGTGAGTAATGCTGCAATGAACATGGGGCTGCAGGTATCTTGACAAGACCTGATCTCAATTTCTTTGAATATATACCCAGAAGTGGGACTGCTGGATCATATGATAACCCTATTTTTAGTTTTTTTAGGACTCTTCATACTGTTTTCCATAGTGGTATCACCACTATAGAAATGGTGGAATTTACATCCCCGCTATCAGTGCACAGAGGTTCCCTTTTCTCCACATCTTTGCCAGCATTTGTTATTCTTGCCTTTTTGATAATAGCCATTCTGACAGGTGGTGATATCTCATTATGGTGTAGATTTCTTACATGGATGCTCAGGGCTCCAAAGTGAGTGGAGAGCAAGAGTGTAAAAGTGAGCCATGCAGGAACCAGATTGCCTTCTATGACCTAACTTTCCAAGTTGCAAACTTCTGTACTTTGAGGTGGTTATAAGGGTCTACCAAGGTTCAAAGAGTGAACATAGATGCCATCTCTTAATGGGGGAGCAGAAAGGTTCTGGAAAAATATGTGAGATTGGAAACATGGTTTCTGGCACTTTTAGACAATACAATCTGTTGTAAATACTATTAAATCTGTACTTTTAAGGTAGATCCTAAGTTGTTCTCAGTGTGAATTACAGAGAGAAGCCCTTTCCTTGACTTTTGGAAATCAGGGAGGTTGAATATCAAGTTTTAGGATCAGTATGGCCAATTTTCAGCAAAATGGATTTTAGTGAGTCTCTAGAAATTAGATCAAGTTTTCCCATTGGTTAACTTTCTCGAGCATTTGCAATTTCATTGGGAAATTCCACGAAACTTCAAAGTATATGGACTTTGTAGAGGTTGTGTAACAGGCTGGAGGAATATGGAAAGATGCTAGCTAAAATCTAGATTAAGAGATTCTCTTGCTGCAAAGAAGGTACTAAATGGGCTTGGCAGAAGGGACCTGAAGGGGAATCAGGAAATCTGCAGTGCTCCATATATCTTTCCTACCTGATGCCATCTCTGCCCTTATTACTCTTTTTAGTTAAGCTTTGCTTTCTTCAATGAATCCTTGTAAAAATGCAAACTCCTCTGGGAGAAAATACGAACAGTTGGTACAGATTTCAGAGTGCTTCAGCAAACACTTATGAGCACAGAGCTAGGCATTGGGAATTCAGTGATTCATTAATTCCATCTCTCTTTCCTTCCTTGACCAGGGGAATAAGGTGGATTGAAAATTTTAGTTCCTGAGGATTTGTTCTGGGAGGCTTTATCATCCAGAATCCACTTTATGAATTTTTTTCTTTGATGGAGCTGGGCCTGGTCTTAAGAATCATCAGAAACTCCCTGGGCTATCAGGAGGTCAACATAAAAGTGCCACCAGGGTAATTCTGCCTCAAATATTGTCACCTTGCTTATTTAACTTATATGCAGAGTCCATCATTCGAAATGGATGAAACACAAGCTGGAATCAAGATTGCTGGGAGAAATAAAAATAACCTCAGATATGCAGATGACACCACCCTTATGGCAAAAAGGAAAGAGGAACTAAAGAGCCTTTTGATGAAAGTGAAAGAGGAGAGTGAAAAAGCTGACTTAAAACTCAACATTCAAAAAAATGAAGATCAAGGCATCCAGTCTCATTATTTCATGGTAAATAGAGGGGGAAACAATGGAAAGAGTGACAGACTTTATTTTCTTGGGCTCCAAAATCACTGCAGATGACTGAAGCCATGAAATTAACACACTTGCTCCTTGGAAGAAAAGCTATGAATAACCTAGACAGCATATTATAAAGCAGAGACATTACTCTGGCAATAAAGGTCCATAGTCAAAGCTATGGTTTTTCCAGTAGTCACATATGGATGTGAGAGTTGGACCATAAAGAAGGCCGAGAGGCAAAGAATTGATGCTTTTGAACTGTGGTGTTGGAGAAGACTTTTTGAGAGTCCCTTGAACAGAAAGGAGATCAAACCAGTCCATCCGCAAGGAAATCAGTCCTGAATATTCATTGGAAGGACTGATGCTGAAGTTAAAACTCCAATACTTCGGCCGCCTGATGCCAAGAACTGACTCATTGGAAAAGACCCTGATGCTGGGAAAGATTAAAGGCAGAAGAAAAAGGGGGTAACAGAGCATGAGCTGGTTGGATGGCATCACTGACTTGATGGACATGAGTTTGAGCAAGTTCCTGGAGTTGGTGATGGACGGGAAGCCTGGTGTGCTGCAGTCCATAGGGTCACAAAGAGTCAGACATGACTGAGCCACTGAACTGACTCAACCACCTGCTGCTCATCCGCCCAGAACGGCAAGTGTCCAGTTCCTTCTGGTTCAAGCCACTTCCCTGAGGGTTAGTTCCACAGTGCAGAAAAAGAAGTCCCTCTACTTGCCAAGTGATGAAGGTGCTATTTTTAACACTGCTCCCTCATTTTAACCCCTTATCGGTTCTTACTTTGGGTCAGGTTAAAGCAGAGGTTTGTTTGAATGAAGCCTGACGGATTCTGGGAAGCCCGGAATGCTGGAAGTCACCCTGAGAGATGCGGGAATAGAGGTGTACGGGGGTACCCTGGCTTCAAGGTTCCTGGGCTCCTCCAGAACCGCCACTTTTACTGGGCCCAGAGCGGCTACACACTGGCCAGGGATCAAACACTTCGAGTGGCCCCAGACACAGCGGCCCCAGACCGCACATCCAAGAAGATGCTCTTGCCAGGCACGGGCGACCTCTGGCGTCCCATTTACGAAGCGCGGCGGCGAGTGCCCAGAAAGCGGCTCCGCGAGCCCAGATGGCCTGGCCAGGTACGCTGGGACCAAGGGAGGAGCTCAGTGAGGAGAGGGGCCCGCGGCCCGGCCCGGGGGCAGAGGGCGACCTCGCTGGAGCGGGGAAGGGCGGCGGGAAGGGGAGGGGGGGGGGACGCGGCGCGGCTGGGGACCGCACAGGTACGCGGGCGGGGGCGGTGCTTGGGGATCCTGCGCACTGCGCGCGCCCCTCCCCCAGCGCGACTCCCGGCGCGGCCCCAGCCCCTGCCCGGCTCGAGCTGGAGGAGGAGCTGCAGCGGCCGCGGCTACTCCGGCAGGTCGGTGGCGCCAGGGGAAGCTGCCGACGGCGCGGGCTGCCGGTCCCAGCGTGCAGGAGGCGCGGGCGGCGCTTGGGCCATGGAGCCTGGTGACGCGGCGCTCCTCGGCTCGGGGCGGGCGGCCCGGGCGCTGCCACCGCGGCTGCTGCTGCTGCCGCTGCTGCTGGGTCGGGGGCTGCGCGGGGCGGCCGCGGCCTCCTCCTCTGGGGCGGCGGCTGAGGACAGCAGCGCCATGGAGGAGCTCGCCACGGAGAAAGAGGCAGAGGAGAGCCATCGGCAGGACAGCGTGAGCCTGCTCACCTTCATCCTGCTGCTCACGCTCACCATCCTCACCATCTGGCTCTTCAAGCACCGCCGGGTTCGCTTCCTGCACGAGACCGGGTTGGCCATGATCTACGGTGAGCACACCCCGCACCCTCACCCACCGTCCCCTACTCCCCTCGGGCGCCCGGGCTGCTGCGCTTCCGCCCCCCGCCCCCTCCCCGCCCCGCGACGCCTTGTGCTCCCCCTTCACTTGCCGACGTGTTTCGTTTCTTTTCCGTTTCCCGCTGAGACGGTCTTGGCTCCCAAGGTCAACTGTCTGCATTTTCGGGCTCCCTATTACCATGAAAATGAATTCCACCTCATTTCGACGTTTCTTCCAGGGGAACCGGGAAAATGAAAGGCACCGGGATGGTCTGGTTCAGTCCAATCGGTTCCGTTTCAGCTTCGCACCCCACCCCTCGCGCCCCCGCCCCCAGCCCCAGTTCAGCTTCACAGGATGTGTGTGCCGGGGCGGGAGGGGGTGACCTCCTAGGGATCTCTCCACCTCAGGAGGCAGGCCACCGTGAGGGTGGGTAAGGGCTTCCTCGACTTGGGTAGGGGCTGACGGGGCTTGGTGGATGCCACATAAATGGTCAACCTGGGTGGGCGCCCAGTTCTGACATCTGTGTTCCCGAATGTCTTGTGAATAAAGTCGGAGCTTGAAGCATTGTGAAAGGTGAGCGTGGTCCAAGACCTATGATGATGTACCGCCATGGCGGACCTAGTCGGGAAGATGGGCACGCCTCCCACTCTTGTGTCCAAGTGGGAAGTTATACCCACTTGCTTTCTTTAAGAGAAGGGGAGCTTTTGCATTCCTCCGATTGTAACAAGGACGCTGCTTTGAAGATACATTTAAGGGTGTGTGAAGAGGAAAAGTAGTGGTTTTAATTCTGGAGTCAGCCTTCTTTTGTTGTGAAAGATGGACTGTGCCATCATCCTTTCCTGAGTTTAATGGCACATGGTGTATTACATACACAAGGGTCAGCACAAATCTTGGCTTCACTGCATGGATGTCAGCCGCAATCTGAATCATCCCTCTTCCCCTGCCATGCCACCGCCTCCACCCTCACACCTGCCCACCGTGACATGACTTCAAACGGGAACCAAGTATTCTCCTTTTGAATATAATGCAATGGAGTTAAGGCCCAGGTTGGCATCCTTATGTGAAATAGATGAGTCCACTTAATGACTGTTCCCAGTAGGAAACATTTGACTTCATCAGTTATACTGGAGGGATCTCTCCACTCAATTTCCATTCAGGATTCTGTGATAGAGAATGGAAAGTGAAAACGTTAATCTTTAATGTTACCCTTGGCCCTAGGCCTCACTTACTCATGGTGCTTGATTGTTGACAGCCCTGGCTCGTGGTCACCAAGGTTATGAAGTGCTCTCCTGGAGCCCTCTAGGTTTTAAAGAGACCTGGCCTAAACAGATCTTGAATTGAAGCAGGACCAGGTCTAAAACTGAGTTTGGTTATTGCAAATTACAGATGTGAACAGAAAACCTTGCCGTTCTTGGGCTTTGTGGTTTGTGTCAATCTGTGACAAATGACTGATGCTCAGGCTAAAGCAGGTAAGCTCGAAGGTTTCCTGAGCTGGTAGCAGAGGGGGAGTTGAAACATGTCATTTCACGTGGTTGACTCTGAGCAAATGAGCATTGCCTTTAGCCATAAAAATATTTTTATTTTATAGCCCCTAGATCCAATTCATTAAAGTACAGTGTGAAATACTTTTAAAAGGTAGATTGGACAGGCTCATAAATATATGCTCCAAGTGCATGGAAAATGAGATTTAGAAATATATTTTCTGAGGAGTACTCCATGTTCTTAGGAGCTCAGTCACCTTTAGCTTAAGGCTTGAAAACAACAGTAGAATTTTCCTTTGCGGATATGTACTTTTTAAACTCATCTCAATCTTTTAGTCATTGGGATTGTGCTACCAGTGTAGTGTTTCACTTTGTGTTATGGAAATCTGGTTTAATTGATGATGTTCAGAAAAGGCAACATCCTCTCATAGCATTCCCCGTAATTTTCTTCTGTGTCTTTGGCTTTTAGTGTTACTTTGAAATGCGGTAAGAAATTTGTTTGTCAATGTGTGATGTCCTAGGTTCTGCCAAATATTAATATCTTGATGTGGATTGCCTGTAACTGAGAGAAAATATTTCTTTTTCTCTAAGAGATATTTAGTCTTCTGTTTTAAGTTCTGCCTCCGCCCTGCCCCAAGCCCCAAATCTGAATTCTGATGGCATTTGATTAGCTAACTATCCAATATATACTTAAGGGATAGGAATTTTGATACAAAAAAATTCAATATGAAAATCTTTGAATACTTAAGTGAATGCAGTACAGATTTCAGGACTTCTCTTTCTCAGTAGAAAGACATCAGATTTCATTTCTTGATATCAGTAGAGGAAGTGAGTGTCCTCTGAGTAATAAAGGGCAAAAAATCTAAGAAACATTTGTTAAGTATCTGCTGTGTACTGGGTGCCCAAGTTAATTTATGGAGATAACCAATTTAACTTTTAAATGTTGGTAGGTTTTCATGAGTGAAAGAGTTCAACTGTGAATTTCAAAACTTTTACCTTGAAATGAAAAAAATCTAATTCCTAGCCCTTTAAAAAATACTTAAATGGTACTTTGAGAGGAAGGGCTTTAATATTTAAAATAAATTGTGGTGTGTGTGTGTATATATATATATGTGTATATATATAAACAATGTATTAATATATAGTAATATATTAAAATAAATTGTGATAATATGTGTATTTGCTGGTATAGTCATAAAATATCTCTAGGAGGACATGCAATAGCCTAACACCATTGGTTTCCTTGTAGGGGAGGAACAAGGTAGGTGGAATGTAGGGGTGGGAGGGAAGACATCACTTTATATACTTTTGTGCTTTTTTTTTTGAACTTTGGAAGTGGAATCACCTAATAGCACGTCCATGCTTCCATTCTGTGGCATTCTTGTGGCATTTTAAGATACTCCTCAAATCATCCAGTTTGATGCCCACTACTCTCTATTTAAATCAAATTGTTATTAATTTTCTGTGACTTTTCAGTTGTTGGCTGTACCCGTGGAACTTTCGGAGCCCTGGGTCTGGAATGGAGACATAACTGGGAAAGGGTGGAGGTTGTCCATCTTTTTCCTTTCTCCTTTTATCTCATTGTCTCCAAAGAAGAGGTGATGTACTTTAGGAGTGGTGTGCACAGATAGATCCCAAAGGACCTATGGACTGTAAGAGACACGCTGTGAATACTTAGCACTTCAATGGAAAGGAATTCCACCACCCACCAAGGGGCAGTTAGAAGCACTCCTTCTCCCTAACCACTGGTCCAGGCAGCTAGCAGGGAAGGTGACCATAGACTTGACTCTCCAGGGACCTTGAAGGCAGCCCCGTTCCACCCCTGCCAGCCCTGTGATGACGGCTGCAGGACAGCGGGTGAGGCACTCGCCTGGCACCAGTCTAACCTGTTTTGTCGGTGCAGGGAGCTTCCAGCTGTCTGGCTCTGTACGTGATTAAGTGCCATCCTAAAGTTACCAAGCCCCTCGTGTCTGTGCAGCAAAAATAGCAAGTGTTTGAGGAGGGAAAGGTGGCATAAACAGACTGTGTCAGTTAATTGTGGTTCTCTCTCGTGTGTACAGTAGTTCCACTTTCCCCATAATGTTTTTGTGACAGCTGATACAGGTCCAAAATATCTAACTCCGTCATGCTAGCCTACCACCTGCTTCTCGCTTGCCCCTCCTCCACACCTATCAACTTTTCAAGTATGTGTTGCACAGAACCTTCAAGGTTCCATGGACCGTGGGCTCGTTGTTGTTTTGCTGGTGCTGGATTGCTAAGCACAGGCTGAGGGAGGGTTCATAGGCAAAGTCTGAAAGGGGAAATTATGGCTTTTTGCAGTAGTGTGAAATTAACATTTGAGCCTGTGAGCAAACATTTCAGAACCACCCTCTTCCTGGTTAATTGGGAGCCCTCCCTCTTTTTCAAGAGCCTTTCACTTTGGCCCTAGTTTGGGGAAGCTCTGTATAGTCTCAGTTTGGTACCAGATGCCCTGGGTTCAAATGCTGGCCCTCTTACTTGTAAAGCTGTGTAACACTGGGCAAGCTCTCTGAACCTTAGTTTCCTTTTTTCAAAAATGGAGACAGTGTCACTCATCTCACAGAATTTTTGTTATTGTGATATTGTAAAGGTCAAGTGTGGTGTGTCTGCTACTTACTTGGTAAATATTAGTTCTCCTTTTCAATTTAGACTTGTGATTCTTTGGTCAGCATTGCTACTTGGGTAGAGTCCTGCTGTAATTTTAAAAGGCATTAAGATACAGTTAGTGGGAGTGATGAGAATTGTCATTTTCTTGGTAATCCATGGCTAATTCATTTCAATGTATGACAAAAACCACTGCAATGATGTAAAGTAATTAGCCTCCAACTAATAAAAATAAATGGGAAAAAAAATAATTTATTTATTTTTTAATTGAAGGAGAATTGCTTTGCAGAATTTTGTTGTTTTCTGTCAAATATCAACATGAATCAGTCATAGGTATACACTGTAATTTTTTGTAGGCCATTTGTTAATAATTTGTTAATAATTTGCTACGGTAGCTGTTCTACTCTTTTATCCAGCAGTCTCCATTCTTGGGCTTTATATTTCAGAAATAGTCACATTAGTGTGTTATATTATATAGATGGCGATATTCATTGCAGCAGGAACAAGTTGCAATACTCATTAAGAAGGAACTGGTTAAACTGGAGCACATTCCCACTAAGGAATACTGTACAGTTGGGAAAAAGGTGTTTTGAGATGTCCTTTTAAGGCAGCTCACTTAGTGTTGTGGAAAAAACAAGGCACAAAGCAGTAAGTATAGCATTTATTTTTTTAATGTCCTGTGATATAAATACATAAACATGATACATATACATTTACATATGACATGTGTGCATCTCTGGAAAGAGGCACAAACTTTCACAGTGGGATCAGTTGTTGGGAGGGAGGAAAGGGAGATGTTACTTTTCCTTTTTATACTCTTCTGAATGGCCTGAACTTTCTATAACATTGACCATTACTTCTACAATTGAAACATTTAAAAAATAAAGCA